TCTTGGAAAGTACACCGGTGAATTGATTTCGCACCGAGAAGCAAATAAGCGAGGCAAAATATACGACTTTCCTTTTTGATTTGAATGATCAGGCAAGTAGTTTTATAGTTGTATATGTTGCATGAGTATACGATATTTTTTTTCCTGCAATCCCTTTTTAATTCATTTTAAGTTTTGGAACTAATTTGGTATGTAGTAGGTGTCTTAATATTTATCTAGATACATATGTAATACATTTAGGAAACATCTAAATTGTAAAACTGATGGTTCTTTATTTCTTTAGTTCCTCAATGCTTGGAATCCAAATGTGAGTWCTTATTTGCAGTTTAATGTGATAATTGCATTTGGAAATTGGAACACAGCCTCTTGTAGGAAATCTGCCTTATATGTTTGATTTTGGCAAAATAATCAGTTCAYGMTGTGGGATTTGTAAAAGATTTATTGAATTTAGATCGTTASGATGATGGGCTTTCTTGAACATAGGTTAATTGTGGCTTCTAATGTTGATGTATTTGTGGTTATAGATGATGAAGCAAAGGCACAAGGTGGAGAGGGAGTCGAACATTAGAGAAGTTGGAGAAGGTGAACCTGAATCTAGCAGCAATGAACAAGAAKGATGGGATGATTCATGGTATTTTGCAAGCAAATTTGATCTCTAGACCCATCTCATCCCATGGTTATGTTGACAATGAYAAATAATGTACCATTTTCCTACCGGTTGTGTATATATAACCCAATTTTTGTTCGTTTTAGGGATCGAGTATCTTCATACCGGTTGTGTCCCTTCCATTATCCATAGAGACCTGAAAACAAGCAACATTTTTCTTGATGACAACATGACAGCCAAAGTTTCGGATTTTGGCCTCTCGAAACTTGCAGTCGATGGGAATTCACATGTATCAAGCATAGTTCGAGGCACTCTTGGCTATCTTGATCCAGAGTAAGTCGGTATCTTTCTCTTGAATAACCGTCAATGCTATTATTGGTGTCGATTCTCTTGCTTCATATGACTTGCGATTTGTAGATATTATATCTCCAATCATTTGACAGAAAAAAGCGATATCTATAGTTTTGGGGTCATCCTTCGTGAGCTGATCTCCGGTAAAGAAGCCATTTCTAACGAAAGTTTTGGTTTGAATTGTCGCAACATCGTTCAATGGGTAAGTCCAGTTGACCTTCTAACAAGTTTGTAGGCATTATTGTACAAGGATGTGACATTTTTCTACTAAGTGGTAACAATTGTAAAAGGTTATTAACCAAAGGACCCCACACATGTCTGTGTTTTGAACCCGTTAAATTGTAATGTTCAGTTTCGAGTGTTTTGTTGCAGGCAAAGTTACATATAGAGAATGGGGGCATCCAAAGGATCATTGACCCAGCTCTAAGAGACGAATACGATGTCCAGTCCATGTGGAAGACGGCCGAGAAAGCGTTGATGTGTGTCCAACCTCATGCGAACATGAGACCTTCGATGTCTGAAGTTATCAAGGAAATACAAGATGCAATCTCGATAGAGAGGGGTGTCAATGGAGGTAGTTGTAATGAAATATTGCGGAGTTCTTTTCATTCATCATTGAATATGGGATTGCTTGACGCGGGCATTGACCCTTACTTGTCGTTTCACGACTCCATCACACTCCCCTCGGCTCGATAGTTTGTTTCTTGTCGTGTGTAACGATTGTCGATAGGTCAGTTGAATAGGTAATGTGGGGTTTTTTTTTTTGGCTTTAGGGTAGAACGTTGTCTTAAAGTTGCTCCATCCTTTGGAGCAGAGAACAAATCTGTGTACATTTAGAGACATAGAACCTACTTTTGAGTAATATATATTGGGTTTCAGATTTGGAGGTTGTCTATTTGAACCCGAATTTTCTATCAAAAGTCGGTTTTTGAATTTTTGGATTCAGGAGCATCTGGGTTTTGCATAAATAT